AAAACTAAACATAGATCTGCCCTATGATCCAGCAATACCACTCCTAGGGACATACCTGATGGAATGCGACTCAAATTATTCAAAAGGCACCTGCATACCCATGTTTATTGCAGCACTATTTACAATAGCCAAGCTATGGAAACAGCCAAGGTGCCCCACTACTGATGAATGGATCCAGAAAATGTATTTATATGCAATGGAATTTTACTCAGCCACAAAGAAGGATGAAATTTTGTCATTTGCAAATAAATAGATGGAACTAGAAAACATCATCTTAAGTGAAGTTAGCCAGGCTCAGAAGGCCAAAAATCATATGTTCTCCCTCACAGGCAGATTATAGATCCAAAATAAATGCACTAATATTGAAATGGGCCACACACTAAGGGGAGAATGCGCATGGGAGAAATAGGAACTTGAATGTGGTTGATGTGCTCACTATAGAGGAGTGAATAAAGTGATCTTAAACTGGGAGAGGCTACTATGGGAAAGTGACAAGGAAGTAGCGAAGAGGTCTGGTAGAGGTGAACCAATGTGGGTTGCGGTACACAAGTGTATGTAAGCATGCTAGGAATCACTCTGTATAGTTATCTTTATCTCAAACTAGCAAAAACGATATGTCTTTCTTAGTATCTTCTATGCTTTCTCTTCAACAAAATCGAAGAACAAGAGGGTGGAATAGGTTCTGCCTGGAAGTGGGAGTGGGTGAGTGAGGGAGGAGCAATAAGTGAGGTGGCATAATGTATACACATGTAAGTAAATGTCAAAATGATAAAAGAGAAAAATTGAAATGTCCAGAGTCAAAACTAGAAAAAATATTAACTGTAACAGAGCAGTAGTGTCAGGTTGGAATGGGTTAAATGTGAATAGTGAGATGAAGTAGGGACAGGGAATGTCAGTAGAGTAGGAGAAATTTTTGAGAGATAAGAAAGAGTGCCATTGTAAGTGTAATATCCTTGATAAGGCAAAGAATTTTGGGTTCTCATAATGAAAGAGTTGGCTATATATTTGACACTTTGATGGAAGGAGGGCTTTGAATTTGGGTACAAATGGAAGTAGGTTTTAGATATGATAGCAAGTTGAATGTGCTCCTGTCTTGGCTTCAAATTCTTTTAGAGGCTGGGTGTTTCTCCACCTTTGGCATTTTGTGCTGGATAATTCTTTGTTGTGGAAGATTCTTTATGCATTGCAGATGGCTACCAGCATCCTTGATCTCCAGTTACTAGATGTTTGTAACACTCTGTGTCCCACCCATGCCTCCCTTTCCCAGTGCCTCCAGTCATTGGCAAATGCTGATGGGGAACAAAAGGATTTTGAATGAGAACCAGTGGTCTTAGGTGAAAGTGAGGAGAGTCATGTTGGAGTTTTAGGTTGGACAGAGGGTTTCAAAAAGTCATCTGGAAGAATAGGAAAAGGAATTTACATGTGTGATCTACTGTATTATTGTTAGGAAATTCATGTCCTTTTTCTTTCTTCTGAAATATTCTCATTTATTAGTTTCTATTTACTATTAGTTTTTTATTTTCCCACATTCCTTTAGGTTTTAAATGATTAAGGTTTCTTTTAGTTTGTACTTTGGGAAGCAACAGTTTATATAACATATCAAGAGCATAGTGTTTCTCAAAATGTTCACAAAGGAAGGTTTCATAAAGTAAGCTCTCTTGACAGTACATCAAATACTTTGGAGGCATGACAACGTATAAAAGCCAAATACACTAATAGTACTTGAATAATGTTGTATATTTTATACATTGTTGTAGTTTTAAAATAGTAACAGTTTTATTCTTGATTGCCTCAGGAATTAGTTCGAATAAGAGCCTTGTAGAGGGAGAGATGTTAAATTTGAATGATTGTTTGTCTTTCAGTAACCTTCAGACTTCTAGTTTTAGTTTTTTTGTAAGATTGGGCTCTTGTCCAATTTAAAAATTTAACTTTTAAGTGGTTCTCAGTGAGGACATTGCTACCTCCTGGGACTGTCTTTTTGAACTTCTGTTTTGATGCACAAGTAATCCCTAAAGTAGCACAACTGTTAGGAGCTGAAGCTTTGTTGTGTACACACCCACTTGGACACCTAACTCACTGAGGAAAAAGTTCTCTCATTGCATAGGATTCTTTTCAGTACTTTCCAACTCTAGATGGGGTGAGCACTACTTATGGTTTATTTCATTTTTTCTGTATATGTTTGGATGTTTTTCTTTTATTACATTTTTAAAGACTAAGATTGCTTGCTCAAAAGTATTGGTTTGCAACTTGTTCTGTTTCCCCTGCTTAAAAGTACTTCATGGATATCCATCTATGCTTTTTTATAGATCTCATTGTTTTTAATGTCTACATGGTATTCTGTATTATGAATGTACAATAGTATGTTTTATCTTCTTTCCCCTGGACATTTAAATTGTCTCCATCTTCTTTTTTCTTTAAAAAATTTTTTATTTATTTTTTTAAATCTGATGGGTTTATTTTGAGGATTAAATGATATAATGTATAGAATGTGCTTGACATATACCTGCTGTTTAGTAAGGGCTTAGTAAATAAATTTATTAGCAAGGGCTCAATGAAATCTTAATTTAGTGGAACAGTGTGCATGTGGATGAGGCTTGTCAATCTATGGGCCTGGATATTTCACTGGGGATCCCCACATGTTAGTATCTGTGGGTATTTTGTCACTGATCATTCTCTCATCTGGAAAGTAAATGAGTGGCTGCTGGTGTTCTCAGAGCCAAGTGAAGAAAGGGTTGGTAGACTATCACCATTTGGGATTTAATAAGTCTGAATTCATGCTTCCATTTTTAGAACAACATCTCTGCCCTCAGCTATGGCTTTTAAAAAAAAATTTAAATAACACTGCACTGAGTATCACTGGATAGAGAATTCTTAAGCAAAAATCATAGGTGCAGGCTGGAATTTACTGGTATAATGGGGTCAGCAGGTGCTCAGATTCATATTTTAATTTGATGTTTCCTAAGACATACTTTGTCCTAAAGTGCAGATGTTTCGATAGAGATACCTTAACCTCCTTTGTTCTCTCTTCTTATATGTCAGGCAGAAAAGAGGTCTTGCAGGTAAAGTAGATGAATGCTTTGTACTTGGGTCTCTAAGCTGAGTAGATGGGTTCATGGGTGCTAGGGCATTCTAATTGCTGAACACCTGAAGACTTTAGGCTGGTGGGGGTGGGGAGGGCAGTGGGGAGAAATGACCCAGACAATGTATGCACATGTGAATAAATTAATAAAAAAAAGAGAGACTTTAGTCTGCTTGGTCCCTTGAGTATTTGAAATTGAGTGTAGCTCCTCCTTGGTATGAAAGTGCAGTCCAATTTCCTCTCTTCTCTCTCCTCTCCTGTTCTGTCCTGTCATCTCCTGTCCTCTTCTCTCTTCTCCCCTCCCCTTCCCTCCCTTTCCTTTCTTTTCCTTTCCCAGCCCCCCCACAGACAGGAACCCAGGTTACCCAGGTTGGCCCCTAACTTCTACGGACAAGTGATCCTCCTTTCTCAACTTCCCAAGCAGCTGGAACTACTGGAACTACTGTGCACCATTGTGCACAGCTCAGTATATTGGGATTTTGATTGGTGTCATCTATTGTTTTTATGGATTAATTTGCGGGGGGGGATTGGTATTTATAATCTTTTCCTGTGGGAATTTGTGAGTTCCTATTTATTTAGATTTTTTTACAGTTTATAATTAAGTTAGTTTTCTTTATAATATAGTTAACAAGTTTTTTATCTGGCTTATTTTTAAGTTTTTTATATTCTTTATAGTTATTGTGAAATACTGTTTTTATTATGTGTCAAGGTTTTGCATTTGTAGAAGTTTGTATTTTCCACATTTTAATTTTTTTAGATACTCATTACTAGAGATATTTATAGGCAAGAAATTCATAGATGCTCATTACTAGAGATATTTGTAGGCAAAAAAGAGAAAAGATAATAAAGAAAAGAAACATAGTAAGTTTTTTAGGAGAATTAAATGTTGCTGTTCTTCCTTAAGAGCACCTGTAGAGGAATGTTTACATTGATTTGAACTCTTAAAATGTTCATAGAAGGTGGACCTGGATTTTGCTTTGGGCCTCATCACTTAATAGCAGTGACCAGTCCCATAGAATCTCCAGGTATAATTTCTCGTATACAGAATTTAAGGTATTAGACAAGTCTTGCCTTTGTACCTCAGTCCACTCAACAGTATATAGATTATTTTCTATTGAGAAGATTCATCTGGATTATGTTTTCTAAATTTAGTAATTAAGTAACAACTCATGGGATTAATGCAAAGGAGTTTTGATTATTTTCCATTTAGGTATTTTAAAAAAACTTAACATGCTCAAATCTTTCTAAAATGCAAATCCGATCTGTCGGTCTCTACCTAAATTCATCACTAGTTTTTGTTGCCCTTAGGACAAAGTCCAAATTACTATAACTGACAAGTCTCTCTAGCTATGTCCTTCCTTTCTTTCACTCTGCCCGACTTTTCTTACTTTTACAGAAGTTTTAATGAATGTGATTTAGCTTCTTGCATTTTTAAAAACCTGGTACGTACATGTCTTTCTCTGTTCCTTCTTTCTATCTTGTTTCCTTTTTCCTGAGGATATCCTTTCTTTCTTCAGTCTATGGTAATTTTGGGAAGTCATCTCTGATCTTCATTACTCTGAGTTAGTTGTTTTATTGTCTTTTTCTTTGTCTGAAACAGTCTCCCTATATTGTCCATGCTGGCCTTGAACACCTGATCCTCCTGCTCAGTACTCCTGCTCTCTGGAGTACTGAGATTGCAGTCCTGTGCCACCATGCCCAGCTGTCTTTTGTATTTGTGTTTCCCCAGAACTATGCTGTTATCACAGCATTCATGTATTGAAATTTATTTGTTCACTATTTGCCTCTCATTTTTTGAAGGCATAGACCATAACTTATTTGAGTTAAAGTTACACTTTAGAAGTGATAGTCATATTAAATCTTAATTATAATTCTTAGAAATGATGTTAAAATTAATGTTTTTGTTTCCTCTTTATCCTAGGACTGGGCTAATGGTAATGTCAGCAGACAGATTGAGGATACTGTATTATATGGTTACTATAGTAAGTATCTTTCAGTTTCATTTTCTATTTGGGCTGCTTAGTAAAATATAGAATAATTTTCTTATAATATATGGAATTTCTGTTTTCTACGTAAGAAATAAAGAATATGCATTCATTTTCACTATCCTAAAACCTTTTTTTTTTCAATTTTATGTCTTTTTTTAAATTATTCATTTATTCACATGTGCATACATTGTTTGGGTCATTTCTCCCCTTTCCTCCTTTCCCCCCTTCCCCCTTCCTCTCTCACTTCAGGCAGATCCTGTTCTGCCCTTATCACTAATTTTGTTGAAGAAAAGACATAAGCATAATAAGGAAGACAAAGCATTTTTGCTAGTTAAGGATAGCTATATAGAGAGATTCCTAGCATTGCTTTCGTATACACATGTATTACAATCCATGTTGATTCATCTCTAGCTGATCTTTACACTGATTACTGATCCCCTTCTCATGTTAACCTCTGTTGCTTTAAGGTTTCTGTATTAGCTCCTCTGGAGTGGGGACATCAAACACTTTCAAGTTTTGGGTTTTCTACCTATTCCTATATCTCCCATATGTGCTCTCCCCTTGTCATGTGATCCAAGTCCAAACACAGTGCTGCATTTGCCCTAGATCTAAAGTCCGCATATGAAGGAGAACATACGATTTTTGATCTTCTGAGCCTGGCTGACCTTTTAAACCTATTTTGCCTCATTTAGGTTTACTTAACATTTTTTGGTGGGAGAGGGGTGGTTCAATTAAGTTACTTTCAATCTTAGGTCCCTTTTGTTAACATTACCAGTTTCCCACACTTGTGCTCTTGATTTAGTATCTTAATTTTCTAGAAATTTTTCCTAAGTACTGATAATAGTAGATTGCACTATCTGGAGCATTTTCTGAACAACTTCACTGTACTCTACAGAGCATTTTAATCCAAGGATTATGGTTGATTTGTCCTTCCTGTGTTCCTTCTCCCATTCATTCCTTCCCAGTATTAGAATAACCACCTAAGTGTTTCTTTCTCTTTCAGTAATCATGAAACTTACGTTTATAAAAATGTATAAATGCTGATTTAGGAAAAGTTTGTCATTGTCCATCAATAAATCAAGACGTTGAATAAGATTTCAGTAGGAAATTAAATTGGAATAATTTGAATAATTTTTTGAGTAATTTGAATAATTTTTAAATTTAGATGTTTTGGTTCTAGCTTGGACTATTTTTTCCTCATTTAAAATCTATAGGACCCATGGCGGTATATCCCTTTTGTATAGGTTTTAGAAAGATTCTTATAATATTTTAATGCAGAATTTAATATTTCTAATTAATATATTAAATGTATTATAAAATATAATTTTGGAACTATTGGATTGATTCTATGTTAAGTAGAATGCTGCTTGTTCAGTACAAATTTATTAGAATGCTATCAATTACTTCTTCAACAGTACTTTTGAGGGAGGCAGTCTGTCATCCGTGTGTCACTAAAGTCTAGCTATGCTGTAGTGCATGTGACGAGATGAGCTGTTTTGCACGTTAGTGAAGCCAAAGTCCCTGACCACATCCTACCACTGGACCCAGAAGCCAGGGACCAATCCACTGTAAGGAGGGTCACAAAACATTCATAAACCAGAATGTTACTTTGAGCAGCCATTTTCATTTGGTTCCATGGAAAGAATTAAACCCAGAGAAAAGAATTTTTTCATTGTTTATTCATTTATTCATATGTGCATACATTGTTTGGGCCATCTTTCCCCCTCGTTCCCCGCCACCTCCCTTTCCCCCAGCCCTCTTGCTTCTAGGAAGAGCCTGTTCTGTCTTCTTCTCCAATTTTGTTGAAGAGAAAACATAAGCGATAATAAGAAAGACATAGCATTTTTGCTAACTTGAGATAAGGATCGCTATACAGAGAGATTCCTAGCGTTGCTTCCATGCACATGTGCATTACAACCTGAATTGGTTCATCTCTACCAGACCTCGTCACTACTTCCTGGTCACCTTCTCATAGTGGCCTCTGTGAGTTTTAAGATTACTTTTTTAACTCCTCTGCAGTGGGCACATCAAACACTTTAAACTTTTAGGTATCGTTCCCTTTCCCTATTCCTCCTGTGTGCATCCTCCCCTTAGTGTGTGACCCATGTCAATAATATTACTGCATTAATTTTAGGTCTATAATCTGCATGTGAGGGAGAACATACAATTCTTGGTCTTCTGAGCCTGACTAACTTTGCTTAAAATGATGTTCTCCAGTTCTATCCATTTACGTGCGAATGTGAAAATTTCATTCTTTGTGGCTGAGTAAAATTCCATTGTGTATAAATACCACATTTTCTTAATCCATTTGTCAGTGGTGGGGCATCTTGGCTGTTTCCAGAACTTGGCTATTGTGAATAGTGCCGCAATAAACATGGGCATGCAGGTGCCTCTGGTGGAATCTAAGTTGCATTCCTTCAGGTATATCCCTAGGAGTGGTATTGCTGGATCATATGGCAGATCTATGTTTAGTTTTTAAGAAGCCTCCATAATGTTTTCCAAAGTGGTTGTACTAGCTTATATCCCACCAGCAGTGTCTAAGGGTTCCTTTTTCCCCCACATTCTCGCCAACATTTGTTATTGGTGGTGTTTTTGATGATACCTATTCTAACAGGGGTGAGGTGAAATCTTAGTGTGGTTTTGATTTGCATTTCCTTTATGGCCAGGGATGGTGAGCATTTTTTCATGTGTTTTTTGGCCATTTGGATTTCTTCCTTTAGAAAAGTTCTGTTTAGTTCATTTGCCTACTTCTTTATTGGTTCATTGATTTTGAAGGAGTTTACTTTTTTGAGCTCCATGTATATTCTGGTTATCAGTCCTTTGTCTGATATAAAGCCAGTGAATATTTTCTTCTACTCTGTGGGTGGTCTTTTCAGTTTAGAGACCATTTCTTTTGTGCAGAAGCTTTTTTAATTTCATGTAGTCCCATTTATCCATCCTTTCTCTTAGTTGCTGGGCTGCTGGAGTTCCTCTGAGGATTTCTTTGCCTATACCTATCGCTTCTGGAGTATTCCCTGCTGTTTCTTGTACTAACTTCAAGTTTTGGGATTAAGGATATTAAGGTCCTTAATCCATTTTGAGTTGATATTAGTACAGGGTGATAAACATGGATCTAGTTTCAGTTTTCTGCAGGCAGATAACCACTTTTCCCAGCAGCATTTGTTGAAGAGGCTGTCTCTTCTTCAACATATGTTTTTGGTGCCTTTGTCAAAAATAAGGTGGCAATAGCTTGTGGATTCATATCCGGGTCCTCTATTCTGTTCCACTGGTCTTCATATCTGTTTTCGTGCCAGTACCATACTGTTTTTATTGCTATGGCTCTGTAGTATAGTTTGAAGTTGGGTACTGTCATACCTCTAGTGTTACTCTTTTTGCTGAGTATTGCCTTGGCTATTCACGGTCTCTTGTGTTTCCAAATGAACTTTAGGGTAGATTTTTCAATCTCTGTGATGAATGTCACTGGGATTTTGAAGGGAACTTTATTCAACATGTAGATTGCTTTTGGTAGTATAGCCATTTTTTACTATGTTGATTCTACCAATCCATTATCACAGGAGATCTTTCCACCTTCTGTAGTCTCCCTCAATCTCTTTCTTCAGAGGTTTGTAGTTCTCCTTATTGAGGTCATTCACATCCTTTGTTAAGTTTACTCCTAGGTATTTGATTTTTTTTTTTTTGAGGCTATTGTAAATGGAATTGTTTTCCTATATTCTTTCTCAATTTGTTCATTGTTGGTGTATAGAAAAGCTAATAATTTTTGTAAGTTGATTTTGTATCCTGCCACCTAGCTGAAGCTGTTTATGGAGTCTGGGAGTATTTGGGTAGAGGTTTTTGGGTCTTTGAGGTATAGGATCATATCGTCTGCAAATAGGGATACATCGACAGTTTCTTTACCTATTTGTATTCCTTTTATTTCTTCTTGCCTTATTGCTCTGGCTAGGAATTCCAGGACTATGTTGAATAGGAGTGGGGATAGTGGGCAACCTTGTCTTGTTCCTGATTTTAGGGGAAATGGTTTCAGTTTTTCTCCACTTAGTATGATGTTGGCTATAGGTTTGTCATATGTAGCCTTTATAATGTTGGGGTACATTCCTTCTAGTCCTAGTTTTCTTAAAGCTTTTATCATGAAGTGATGTTGAATCTCAAAGACTTTTTCTGCATCTCTTGAGATGATTAAAGTGGTTTTCGTCTTTGCTTCTATTAATGTGCTGTATTACATTTATTGGTTTGCGTATGTTGAACCACTCCTGTATCCCTGGGATGAAGCTGACTTAGTCATAGTGAGTGATCTTTCTGATATGTTATTTGATTAGGTTTACCATTACTTTATTAAGGATTTTTTGCATTGATGTTCATTAAGGAAATTGGCCTGTAGTTCTCCTTTTTGGATGTGTCTTTGTCTGGTTTTGGGATGAGTGTAATACTGGCTTCATAGAATGAGTTAGGCAGTGTTTCTTCCCTTTCTATTTCGTGGAAAGTTTAAGGAGAGTTGGTATTAGTTCTTCTTTGAAGGTCTGATAGAATTCAGCAGAGAGTCAGATGCTGGACTTTTCTTTTTTGGGAGACTCTTTATTACTGCTTCAATTTCATTTTGTGTTATGGATCTATTTAGTGACTAATATCCTCTTGATTCCATTTATTGATGGTCATAAGTATCTAGGAGTTTGTCCATTTCTTCAAGATTTTCAAATTTACTGGAATATAGGTTCTCAAAATAGTCTCTGATGATTCCCTGGATTTCCTTGGTGTTTGTTGTTATCTCCCCTTTTGTATTGCTTGTTTTACTGATTTGGGTCTTTCCCCTCCTTATTGTAGTCAGATTTGCCAGGGGTTAGTCAATCTTGTTTATTTTTTCAAAGAAGCAGCTTTTTGTTTCATTGATTCTTTGTATTTTTTTTTAATCTCTATTTCATTAGTTTTGGCCCTGATTTTTATTATTTTCTTTTCTTCTGCTTGTTTGGGTGACCTAATGTAGCATTAGGTCATTTATTTGAGCTCTTTCTGTCCTTTTAATGTATGCACTCATGACTATAAA